GTGCCTCGAGTGCGTGTCGACATTGGCTTGCACAGAGTTTGCAGGTTGCTCTGGCGCAGCAGCAATGCCTTCGAAGCGGCCCCCAGCAGCCAGTATGCATGCGCGCGCACCTCGCTTGCTGGCCCGCGCGGCACCAGCTGCGGTTGTGTGCCCACCAGACAGGTGGTCCCAAACCTCGAACTCCACGACCGAAACCTCGGTATGTGTTGTCTGTCCCGCAGACCCTGTTCCAGTCCACTGCCGCCGGTGTGCCGTTTGTGGAGGTCCTGAAGAGCCAGGGCATCTTCCCCGGCATCAAGGTGCGGCATTAGGAGAGGCCACCAGATTGCCTGGACCAGATCGCTGTGCTGGGGGGCGGCGGCAGAGGCGGAGAGGGCGGGGGCTGGAGGTGGTGGGACGAGAGGGAACGGTGGGGCGGGCGATTGCTCTGATCAGTGGAACAGGAAGGCACACGAAACGGGCATCCTGGGGCAAGCGGGCCCGCCACCACCGCGGGCCCACGACGAAACAGCAGGACTCTGCCCCATCCACCCCAAGCCGCCGCCTGCTGCTCTCTCTGCCTCCCTTCCAATGTACTTGACCGCTTGCTCGTGCCCCTGCCATTTCCACTGCACCTTTCAACTTTCTTGACAGGTGGACACTGGCCTGGAGATCATCCCCGGGACAGACGGCGAGACCTCCACCCAGGTGACCCCCCCGCCGCGCCGCTCTCCCGTCACCCGCGCCGCCCCGCCCGTGCGTCACATCCCGCATGCACAGCACGCGCAAGCTCACACAGCCGGCGCTCACCGGACACCAAAGGTCGATTTGGGGTGTGCGCCAGGGCAGGCTGGCGTGCTCCATGGTGTGCTGAGCAGCCGCTCTTCTCTTTCGCAAGCAACAGCACTCTCGTGGCCCCTGCAACCTGCTTGTACCCCACTCGAAGCCGCTCCAAAAGTGCCGGGATGTAACTTCCCACCGCACCACCGCCTGCCGCCACCGCAGGGCCTCGACGGCCTGGGTGAGCGCTGCAAGCGCTACTACCAGCAGGGGGCGCGCTTCGCCAAGTGGCGCGCGGTCCTCAAGGTGCGCCCCGCCGCATCCATGTCGAGTGCATGCCTGGCACGTCCAGCGGTGTTGTCGGCCCCTCCTGCCGGCACGGGCCCTTCAGCGGCGGACCCGCCGCACCGCCTGCGCGTGCCGGGGCAGCTGCGTCCACGCACAGAGAAGGCCGCCCCTGTGCTGCCCCTGCTCGACCTATTACTGTCTGTCTTGCGACCAACGCACCAACATCTCAAGCCCCTTCTCATGATGATTTTCTTGGGTCCGACGTAATCATGACTACCCCCATCATCATCATCGTCATCATCATTATTGCAATCACCCCTCACCCCCAGGTCGGCTCCAGCTCCACCGCTATCCTGGAGAACGCCCACGCCCTGGCCCGCTACGCCCAGATCGCCCAGGTGGGCACCCCCTCGGCTTCCCGCCGCCTGCTTGCGACGCGCCCTGCCAAAGCGCTCCACGGGCCTGAAAATTGATACGCGTCGCTGGCTGTTGGTTTGCACAAGCCTGCACGCAGGCAGGCGGGCGTTTGCCGGCTTGCCCAGCCGCCCATTGGATGAATGCAGGCAGCTTTCCCTGCACCCTGACGAGTCACTTGGTTTGCAAAAGGTCTACTGCAGATGCAGCTTTATCAACATGCAAGTACCAGCCTTCCTTCAGCCTGGAGTGATGCAACATCACTTGCAAAGCAACCCTAAACCGCTGACCCACTAAACCCTAAACCAGGCCAACGGGCTGGTGCCGATCGTGGAGCCCGAGGTGACCCTGGGTGAGGGCGACTACACTATTGAGGAGAACGCCTACTGGAGCGAGAAGATCTACAGCCACGTCTTCAGGTGGGGCTGGGGGGGGCGGGCGCTCGACACGTTCATCTGCAGACAGCCCTGTGTGTTTGAGCAGCCTCAAGGGCAGCCGGCGCCGGCAACTGGGCGCTCATCAGATGGACATTGACAACCCATGGCACTCCGTTTTGCGATCTGACGCAATGAAGCATGTGCCATTGTCTGCATGCATTGCCCAGGTAACCATCGACTCAAGCTCTGATCTGCTCATTGGTCCCTAAACCCTGGAAATGCCCCTAAAAATTCTCCTGCAGGCTGCTCAACGAGTACAACGTTGTGCTGGATGCCATCCTGCTCAAGCCCAACAGTGGGTGGTGGTTTGATATTGTGTGTGCGTGTGCGCGTGTGCGTGTGCATGTGCGTGTACGTGTGCATGCGCGTGCACGTGCGCGTGCGCGTGGGTGTGTGTGAGTGTGTGTGTGTGTGTGTGTGTGTGTGTGTGTGTGTGTGTGTGTGTGTGTGTGTGTGTGTGTGTGTGTGTGTGTGTGGTGTGTGTGTG